GGCTTAAAATTTAGTATGTGAGATAAAGAGACACAAATAACTGTAATATAAGACAAAAGGTGGCAAACACTATGGTCACTGTGTTTAAAAAGCACCATGAAAGCTTCTGTAGATTAAAGAGAGCTGCAAAGTCCTTGTTCCTGCTTCCATCAAGAGCTGGAGTTTAGTTCCCCAGCCCTTGAGACTGGTCTGGCCCTGAGGCCTGGATGACTATAGAATGTAGCTGGAACAACTCTGGTGACTTCCAAAGTTAAACCGGCAGCAACCTGCAGCTTCCTCCTGCCTCTCGTGGGGTGCTCCCTCTTGGTACCAAGGCACCATACTGGGAGATGTCATTTATTGGGGCTCCTGCAGACACATCAGCTGGCATCCACTGTCAGCCACAGGAGTGAGCTGACTTGGATAGTCCAGCTCAGTCAAGCCCCCCGATGACTTCAGCTGTCCCAATACCCAGCCACACTGTGATACAGAAGAATGCCCAGCCAACCCACAGAATTGTGAGAGATAATAAATTATTGTTTTAATTTTTAAGCGCTAAGTTTTGGGTAGTTAGTATGCAGCCATTGATGGTTCAAACAGGAGTTTAGGAAAGAAGAGATCATTTCAAGTCAAGTGATCATGGAAGGGTTCCTAGAAGAAGTGGGATTTGAGAATGTCCTTGGAGGGAAGGACCGTGACAAGAGGCTCTGGTGACAAAGTCATTCCAAAGAGAGGGAGAAGTTAGAGCAGAAACCCAGAGGCAGGCGGTAGTCAGCACTTGGCAAACAGATCACTGCTGCAAGAAATGGACTAAGAGGAGGAAAGCAAAGCTGAGAAGGCCTGATGGCTTTGGGAACAGACTTTTTTTGTTGCCAGGAAAGAAAACTAATCCTTGCTCTCCTGAGTAAAGGGGCTTTATGGGAGATGATAGGACTTTATGGGTTAGGGAGGCAGGAATCTGTGGGAAGAATAGAAATCCCAGAAAGACGCCAGAGTTGGAAGGTTGCTCGGGATGCCCAGTGGCTCCCCGTCACAGGCACAGTAACCCCCTAAGTCCCTCACGTGGGTACGAGGCCCACGTACTCTTGCTGCTCTTGCCCAGTTAACTCACTGACCCAATTTCCTCTCACTCCCTCCTTCACGCAGTCCCTTCTGGCCACATGCAACTCCTTGCTACTCTTTAGAGAGAAAGTACACCCCAGGCTCAGCGCTTTTGCACTCCTAGGCCCCTCCGCCTGGATCGTTATTCTTCCAAAGTCTCCCCACGGCTCCCCACTTCGTTTCATTCAGGTCTCTGCCACCTCCTCAAAAATGGTTGCCCCTCGCCTCCCCCCATCTCATTGCCTGCTCTACTTTCCTTCTTTCCTTCCCAGCACTTTTTCTTCTATCACTGCCTGAAAAATAAAATCTATTTAGCATTCGTCTCCCAAAAGAATGTGAGCTTTGTGAGTGAGAGGACTTTGTCTAATGCTTAGAACAGTGCTTGGCTTAAAGTGGGTGCTCAAGAAAAATGGTAGAAAACAATGAATGAATAAATGAACTCCAGGCAGTCCTAGAGTTTAAGGCATCTTGTACTTCTCGGCAGGAGGAATTTGTGGATCTTCACCTTAATGCTTCCCCATCGTTCTCTGCTTCCTGCTATTCCCAGGCAATTCCCTCCCCATCTACTCAGTGAGCTTTTCTCTCACAGCTTCTGCTGACTCACAGCCACGGCTTACTCACAGCTCCCCTCAGGCTGCTACTGCCTCTCTGTGCACCTGTCCAACTTCTCCTCCCTTGGCCAACCTCCTGTTTCTCCCTGATTTCAGCTGAAATTCCAGAGACAGGATCTGACTGGGTCAGCCTATTCTCCATTTAGGCAGTGGTTTTGACCTTGAACTGTATTCTGGGACAGACATTCACACTGATCCAATCAGCCGTGGCCATGGGCACAGAGAGTGGATATTTTATTTCATTCAGCAGAAACTCCTGACTGCAGCAGGCACCTGCCTTTAGTGAGCTGTTGGCCACAGCCTTAGGGCCACACTGGGAAACTTATACTTTAGGGAGACACTGAAGTCTACAGAGCAGGGCAGGGAAGGACGAGCTCTATGTTTTCAGAAGAGAGCTTCAGCTGCCCTTTGAATGAGATGGTTTGATGATGGAAGAGGATGGTTAGGAAGCCATGGCTGGAGAGCTGAGTAGGCTTCAAACCAAGCCATGGTCAGGGTCAGAGAGGAGGGAGCAGGAGCAAGTGGGCCTTGAACCCATAGGTGTCCACGAGGTGCGTGATGCTGGATTTCAGCTGAAGAAAACCTGGGTCTCGTCAACTTAAATATCAAACTTAAGAGGCTTTCTAAAAGAAAACAGTCCTTATTTGGGAACAGGGCATTGCAATGGGAATATGCATGCCACAGTAAACTATGTGCATATCAGGGAGGCAAAGGAGGACAAAGGGTTTTTTTAAAGGAAAAGTGATGGAGGATTACATAATTGTTATGGGATAATTATCGTTGACTACAAGGATAAATAACAAGGGTGACACCAGCCCAAGGTTGGACACACAGTTGCTGGGCAGATGTCCTCGTCAAAGTATTTTTTGTGTAAGGTTGCAATGGCCTTTGTGCAAGGTTGTGGTTTTACGGAGTCCTTCATGACAGTTCTTGTTATCAGGCATTCGTACTTGTGAATCCTTCCCTTTATGGTCTTCCCTAGCTCTATTTGTCAGAGTTTTTTGTTTGTTTTTTGCTTTTTGGCAGCTGGCTGGTAAAAGGATAGGGTTTTTATTTTGTTTTGTTTTATAACGCAAGTGACTCCATTTTGATTCTGAAAACTTTCACAATCTACACACTCTTCACGTCATAAAGACATGAGTTAAAACTGTGGGTGCAGAGCCTGTCAAGAGATAAACCAAGACAGACATTTGGGGAAATCTCTTACATGGAAAGGGCAGACCAAAGAAGAAAAACTTGACAAATGACCTGGATAGGAAATATTTATACAGATGGGCAGAGACTCGGAGAATCATAGCACCCCACAAACACAGGAAGCATCTCCCCTACTTATTCTCTTATTCTCTACAAAACAGGCCCAGAGAATCCTGCATGAGATCCCACCCTGTTCCAAATTCCAAGCTTCCAGTCTGTTTTCCCACACATAGTAACAATATTTCTTGGGAATACACATATTGTAAAAATACATGTGCTGGCCTGCAGTGCCACAATTAGTGGAGCTGCTGTCCCAGGAAACCCTCCTCACCATTTTGCTAGATCAGAAAGAGGATTAACTTTGATGTCTGTCTGAACCCCATGCGAGTCACCACTGGTGGTCTGCTCCCTGTGAGCATTCAATCTTCACATCCAAGGGAAAAAGGAGAAAGTGCCGGATAGAAGCCCAAACCAATTTTTTTCCCTCAGTGATTGAGATGGAAATATGCACCCTAGGATTTCTGACATATTTGACTTGCATCCCATCGCCCTACATCCTTCTAGCTGTCTCTCCCTTTGCATAAATATTTTCACCAGACCCAAACTTCCTTTGGTTTTTCCAAACATTAGCACAGCTATGAAGCCCCAAGCTCTTCATCTACGCCATGTGTTGGAGGTAACTGAGTTAATTTCTCTGTCTATTAGAGCTCCTGGTGGCATGCAACTGAAACTTATTCTGTCTAACTCAAGCCCAAAGAGAGTTTACTGGAAGCTAGTATGGGGTGGCCTGCAGAATATGATGAACATGAGAATCAGACAAGCAACAACTGGGGAACAACTAGGAAAGCTCCAGAATTATGGCCAAGAGGGGGATATATAATAATCTCATCAGAACATTAGCAGTGGAAGAAATCCACCGCAACGATGCCATCTGTCTTTGTGTCACTGTTCTCATGATTCTTATTTCTGGAAGAAAAAACAATTGGATCAGGTTGGATCATATCCATACCCAGGAAACACAAGCTCACTGACTTTGCAAGACAGTGTAGACTGGTGGTTAAGAGCAGTCTCTGGGATCAAACGGACTGGGTATGAATCCACATGACCTTGGGCAAGTCATTCTTGTCACGCCCCATCTTCCCCCTCTGAACATGGGGATACCTATCCACGGGCATTGGTGAGTACTAAATGAGTAGACCTATGGTAGTGACTGCACACGACAAGTGTTTACAAGTCTTGATATTAGTAATGATTAGATATGCACAGGGCCTCTGGATTTATACTGTAATCAAGAATGCCAAGATGAGAGATCATTCTCCAAAGGTATCAGAAGCTATTACTATGGGGGGCTATCCACTGACACACTGTACCCCTCCACAGACCGTAGACACCATGAGGACAATAGGTGCCACCATTTTCTTCACAGCTGCATCCACCATCGCTTGAAAAGTGTGCCATGCCTGGATCAGTGATTCTACTGTCAAATGATTCCTTTTTTTTTTTTTCCTTTTTGTCTTTTTTTGTGTCCGGCAACGGATCGCAACCCTCAGTGCCGCGCCCGTACCAGACCGGGACCGGCCACGGGATTGCAACCCTCGGTGCTGCTCCCGCCCCTCGCTCAGCCAGTGAGCGGCCGGTCTGTATGTGGGATCCGAACCCTCGGCGGGAGCGCCACCGCGCTTCCCAAGTGGCGCACTATAGCAGTGCGCCACCGGGCCAGCCCCCAAATGATTCCTTTTTATGTACCCAACCAACTAGTACAGAGCTTTGCATGGAGTAGGCACGCAGTATTTGCTGACTGAATTGATAGGTCAATGAGAAAAGAAAAACCGAGGGAGTGTGGTTTTCTCAGAAACAAGAACACTGGGATCAGAGATGAACTTGCATTTGGTAGGGCCTGGTGGCAGGCAATTGCTAAAGTAGCTGTTTTCTGGTGTTTCTGTTTTCTGATGCTAATAATTTATACAAATGGCAAAAACGGGATAATCTTTTCTGCTGGTCATCTAATGCCTGAAGGGGACAGAGAAACCATGAGTCACTTGCCATATCACCTTTGAGAGAGGGTGGCTCATCTGCCACACTGGTCCTTGGAGGCACTCCTGGTACCTCACCAGGATGCCCCGTTCTCCTGGCAACATTCATACTGGCTTGCGGAAGCCCATTATTGGGGCTTGGCTAGCCATCTTGTCAACCTTGCTTGTGGAGAAAGGAAGATATCATGAGAAGCACTTCAGATCAGGAATCATAAGCACTAAGCCCTCAGCCAATGGTTTGTCACCCTGAGAGGGTTCAGGAGTCTGGCTCTCAGTGACCACATCTATAAAATATAGTCATCTTTGCCTTGCAGATCATGGAGGTGTTAAACAAGTGGAATCACATTCAGGGAGATGTCATCTGGAACTCCTTCTGTTGTAAAAGACAGAACCCAACTCAAACTGGCTTCAGTGAAAGGGGACTTTATTGGCTCATGCTACAGAGCAGTTCAGGGGTAGATCCTGTTTCAGGTATGGCTGGCTCAAATGTAGCATCACCATCTGGTTTCTCTCCACCTCTTTCTGCAGTACTGACCTCATTCTCAGTCTTTAAATGGTGGCCCCCAGCAGGTCCAGAGTCTCATCCTCTCAAGTTCAAATCCAGCTTTCCAATAGCTAGTTTAGACCATGACTGGCTCAATTTGGGTCATGTGGCCAGAAGGATGCAATTACATTGGATATTCAGGCTGGTGTCTTGTATCAACCAGGCCCTGTGGCGAGGAAGCTTGGTCAGGCGTGGTTATGTGCTTCACTCTCAGAGCTGGGAAGAAGTAGGATGAGAGCTTATCTCATGGACCAAGAGTGAATGAGGAGTGGTTCCCCAAAAGATATTTGGGGTACTATTAACAGAGAAAAGGGAAGTGGACGCTAGGCTGCCAAAATGGTAAATGTACACTATGCTTGGGTATTTTGTCTCCTGTGATATAAAGCATGTATCACAGGTTCCCTCTTTGCTGTGCAGTCTTCTGTCATCACCCTAACAAGCTCCCGCAAGTGCCTGAGGTGAGGCCATCTCACCTTACAGTCATCTGTCTTCCTCCTCTGAACTTCTGCAGCCCGCAGGACCATATCACTCATCGGCAATGGGCTGTGTTGGTCATTAGTTATCTTTTTATGTATATGTTCTGTCTCTTCATCTATGTGGCAAGATCCTGGAGAGCAAGGATCATGTCTTATTTATCTTTGTGTCCCCCATAGCACTTTGCCTGGTGTTTGGGGCATGGCAGATAGTCCATAAATCTGCTGACAGTCAAACAACTAATTTATATGCTTCTGGAGCCACAGAGGTAGATGGTAGTTTGATTCAACTACAAAACTATAAAGAAAGAGAAAATCTGTGCTCTCCACACCATTTCAGAAAGATTGCAGATCTTTTCTGGAATAAAAAATGGTGCAGGGTCAAGATAAATATCCTCTCTATTTCCCATTCCTAGCTGCTGGTATCAATCTTATTTATAAAGGATTGGTTGAAGGGCCGGCCCCGTGGCGCACTCGGGAGAGTGCAGCGCTGGGAGCCCAGTGACGCTCCCGCCGCGGGTTCGAATCCTATATAGGACTGGCCCGTGCGCTCACTGGCTGAGCGCGGTGTGGGCGACACCAAGCCAAGGGTTGCCATCCCCTTACGGGTCACGAAAAAGACAAAAAAAAAAAAAAAAAAAAAAAAAAAAAA